CAGCATGGTCTTGCTTTGTTGGCTTTTTCTTCCTTGACTCCTTTTATTTTTATTTTTTTTTGAAGATGGAATTTGCTTTGTGGCCAGACTAAAGTGTAGTGGTGTCATCTCCCACAGCTCACTATAGCCTCAAACTCCTGGGCATAAACAATTCTCCTGCCCCAGCCTCTTGAGTAGCAGGGACTATAGGCGGTGCCATCATGGCTAACTTTTTAATATTTTTGTAGAAACAGGATCACACTGTTATGTTACCCAGGCTGGCCTGTCTCCCTTTAAATTTGGAGAGAAAAAAATCCAATGTCCAAATCTTTAGTGTCTCTTCTCTCCATGTAATGGCTACCAGAGAACACACCTATTGCTCAAGACTTCAACACCAATGGTCCTCAGTTGGAGGTGATTTTGACCCTGGGGACACCTGGCAAGGTCTGGAGACATTTGTGGGGACTGAGATGAGCTACTGACATCCTGTGAGTAGAGACCAGAGATGCTGCTAACCATTTATGATGGAACAAAATGTTGTACAGTCCCCACAGCAAAGAATTATCAAGAGTGCCATAGATTAGATACCCTGATCTACGCAGGTAACTTTCATTCATTCATTCCTGCATCTGACAAATGTATCTGTTACTATTTAAGACTTGTCAAAGCATGGGGGGTAGGTGCAGGGAAATCGCAGCTGCAGCCTCAATCTGAGACGCATCATGTCCTGAAAAAAAGAAGCTACGTAGAGGAGATGTGCTGTGCCTCAGTCTAAATCCGACTAATGTTCCAGCCCGCTCGGGGACAGCGCACATTCACATGTCCCAAACCAAACACTCCATCATCTTCCCTTCCTCCTACTCTCACCACCACCACCCAGCCCCACGACCCCCTCTCTGTCATTTCTATCAGACACTCCAAACACTAAGGTCAGCAATACTGGCAAACGGAAACGCCTTCCTCTAGCTTAATAATCAAGTCGAAGCCAAGTCCTTGTGAAAATACCCTGATTGTATTTCTCAGATTCAACCCCACTCCCTCTGCCCACTTTTCCTCCCCACTCCCTAAGCTCAAGATGTCCTTTGGAGCCCAGTACTTTGTAACAAAAACATATTTTACAGTGGTTTTCTTTCTTTCTTTTTTTTTTAAAGAAACACATGCTGAAGGCAATTTGGGTGTAGTGGAAAAAACATACGCCTTGGAGTCAAAAAGATAATTTGGAATCTTGGCTGGTTGAATTTACTGAGTGATCTTGAATAACTTACTTATTTCTCTTCAGTTTTTTTTGGTAAAAATAGAAATGATGTCTAAATAATAGGTTCGTTGTAAGGAAAATGGAACTTGGGAGTGTCCTGAGTGTTCACAAAGCGATCGTTATGTGTTTATGATTATGTTTAATTTATAGGCTGGAGACAAATATTAAATGTGGAGGAAACTGCAAATATAAACTATCAGCACAGTAGAGTGTTTCTGAAATTTGTCAGGTTCCTCTAACTCGTTTTAGGTATGAGCTGATTTTTTTAGATGTCCAATCAATGCTTACTTGAAACACTAACTTAGACAAAAGAAATGAATGAGGAATTTTAACACCCACAATAGTTTTTTTATTGTTACTATTTTATGTAAGTCAAACCCAGATGACATGCAGACAGCACATAAACCAGAAAGTAGGGCCGTTTTCATCCTCGAACCAACCAAACTGTCCCCAGTTCATGAATTTAAAACTCCCTGGACAGGTCTCATAGCAGCATATTCACTGTGGCACAGCCCAGCATAGAGACCGTCTCACAACATGTGCTTACTTGTTCCATGTGATAAAAGTGGCTCTCTGCGTTGAAATGCCAAGACCAACAATTTGATTCATCTGTATTCCTGCAGCTAAAAGCAAGCACACATAAAACACATGTTTAAAAGCCAGTCAAGTTTTTCTTTACAGTATTAGAAAATGAAAAAGAAAGCATTCAATACAATCTTTAGAAAAATATCTAGATTTAGGATTCTAAATACAGCAATTGGAGCTAATCAATAAAGCATTACTAAGATGATTTTGTAGTATTTTTACTTAAAGGTAAAAATGGTCTTATCCTAATAACGAAATGGCCCTTCTTGCTTTAGTTGTTAAAAAAAAAAAAGCAAATATTATTCTATCACATTAATACTACCTCAAAGTAATGGAGCGGCACCTGTGGCTCAAAGGAGTAAGGTGCCGGCCCCATAAGCTGGAGGTGGCAGGTTCAAACCCAGCCTCGGCCAAAAAAACTGCAAAAAAAAAAATACTACTTCAAAGTAAGTTAGATTGTATTTCTTCTTTATAGTAAAAAAGACTAAATTTAAGCAATAATCAATCATAATAGATGGTCGATGGTGGTAAGGAAAACCCCTAGACGAAGGAGTATAACATAATTATTTAAGCTGAGATAATATTTTCCTTCTTTTTTGTAGAGACAGAGCGTCACTTTATCACCCTCAGTAGAGTGCCGTGGCATCACACAGCTCACAGCAACCTCCAACTCCTGGGCTTAGGCAATTCTTTTGCTACTCTCAGCCTCCCAAGTAGCTGGGACTACAGGTGCCCGCCACAATGCC